GGTCCCCCCTCACCTGTCCTGGTCCCCCCTCACCTGCCCTGGTCCCCCTCACCTGTCCTGGTCCCCCCTCACCTGTCCTGGTCCCCCCTCACCTGCCCTGGTCCCCCCTCCCTGTAGGTGAGGGTGGAGCTGTCGCACAACCCAGCCTTCTGCAGCCTGGCCACTGCCAAGAAACGCTACCTCCAGACCATCGAAATCCCTGCCAAGTCCTCCGTGGCTGTGCCATACGTCCTTGTCCCCTTGAAGATCGGCCTCCAGGAGGTGGAGGTCAAGGCTGTCGTCCATGAAATCTTCATCATCGATGGTGTTAAGAAGACGCTGAAGGTTGTGGTGAGTCCTCAGGGGCATCTGCCGTCCCTGCCCTCAGCTCTCCCTGCTGTTGACCTGGGCTCGGAGACACCAGGGATCATCTTAGGGCCTGGGTGTCACAGAGATTAGAGCTGGCCAGGGCTGTGTGTAGAGCGCTAGCTACTTCATGTGAAGCTCTGGGCTCTGTCCTCTGTGGGGTACGACATGTCCTCCGAGCACTGGGGAGGCTGGGGCAAGAGGATTGTGAATTTGAGAGAAACAGGGGTAACTTAAAGAGACCTTGTCTCGGGTTTGAAAAAGTTAAAAGGTCCCAGGGAGAGGCTCCCCTGGCAACGCAACTGCTGTATAAGCCTGAGGACCTGAGTGCAGATCCTCAGCCCCCAGACAGATGCTAGAGGAAGTGGCTGACTCATGGAGAGACTCCGTCTCAAAAGATAGGCATAGAAGAAGACATATGGCATTGACACTTTCACATGCTTGCACACACTCAACACACATTTGCACACACTCACACATGCATGCACACTCACACAATACATTCACATATGTACACACACATACACACACTATACATACACGCATGCACACACATTATACATACACACATGCACACTTTGTTCACACACATGCACACACAGAGGCATGCACACACACACATACATGCACACTCCCAAACACGTGCATATGTGTATATATACACTCACACATATGCAAACAACATGTGCACCTTACACTCACATACATGCACACTCATGCATCCATGTTCTCACACACATGCGCACACAAGAGTGTAAGGTAGGTGTTTGTACCGCCTCCTCCTCAGAAGAAGTTGAGACACAGAGAGGTCACACAGGGAGAAGAGGCAGAGTCCTTCTGAAGGGGTCATTCTCCGAACAGCGTCCTGTTCTCCATCCATGTCTCTTGTCGTTTTGTCCACCCTCCTTCACAGCCGGAAGGCATGAGAGTCAACAAAACCGTGGCCGTCCGGACACTGGATCCAGAGCGCCTAGGGCAAGGTGAGAGGCAGGCAGAGTGGGCAGGGTGGTGTAGGGAACCAGGGGCAGGGGAAGCTGGAACCACCCAAGTCTCTTCCACACTCACCCTGCAGAGGGAGTGCAGAGGGAGGATGTGCCCGCCGCAGACCTCAGTGACCAAGTGCCAGACACAGACTCGGAGACCAGAATTCTTCTGCAAGGTACGATGGCCTCTTCCCTGGCATGAGGGTCTGGGCAGGCGTCAGGGTGGCTGGGAGCTACGAACGGAGCTCCATCTCTCAGAGAGGGAGACCCTGGACCAGGATGCAGGATTCGGATCTCAATTCTGCCATTTCAAGTTGATTGACCTGGGACTCATTTCTTAACATAATGCCTCCCTGTGCCTCAGTTTTCCCCCTGTGAAAAACGAGGGCAATGATACTGTCTTAGTCACTGTTCTATAACTGTGATGAGACACTGACCACGGCAACTCTTAGTCTGTGATCTTTACGGCAGGGAGCAGGCAGGCGTGGTGCTGGAGCAGTAGCTGAGAGCTACGTCCTGATCCACAGGCAGAGGAAGGAGAGAGGCTGGGCCTGCTCTGTGCTTTTGAAACCCCAAAGCCCACCCCAGTGACACACCTCCTCCAACAAGGCCACACCTCCTAATCCTCCCCAAACAGTTCCACTAACTGGGCACCAAACATTCAAATACATGACCCTTGGGGGCCATTCTCATTCAAACACCACAGACACTCTCTGCCTGGTTTGCTGTGAGGATTGACCCATAGCACTTCCAAGCCCCACTTCATCTGGAACAGTGCGGCTTGGGTCGGCCTGCAGGAGCCTCCTGCAGAAGTTAGTTTAGCAAATAGCATTTGCTGGTAAAGATATTTAATGAGAAGCCACACCGGCCAAGTGCAGAGGATCTGCCCTTCTTGCATGGATCCAGGAAGA